GTATTCCACTGATTAAATCACCAGCATTAAAACAAAATAAATAACACCAATCTCCTGTATTCACTCTAGACTCATGAACACACATCACATTCACTAACATCTGACTTTTCCTCTGATTTTGTTTTGGCCACTATGTTCATTTGTTTGTTTTTGTTTTAAAAATGTTCACAGGTTCCACTGCTTACCACAATGTATGCTCTCGGTCTCTCAGTCTAGGATGGGTATATGTGTTGTTACCAGGGTTTTGCTATCACCAAGAATCCAGACCTTGCATACTGAACTTTATGCACTACGTATTTCCCCTTTCCAGATCACTGTTAACATGACTATCTTAGTTGCTGTAGATTCTGGAGTTGCTGTCCTAAGAGACAGCTAAAGTACTGTGAAGTTAGTCATTGTGATTATGCTAATGGTACTTTGCAGGAAGAGTATGCCTATTTTGTGAAGAGACAAGTGGATAAAAGTTCTTTATTTCATGCTCTTTAAACAAGACATGCATTAACTTGAGGTATATATTTCAAACAATGGAAGTCTCCAGAACACCCAGAGTCTGACCAGTAAGGTATTTGAGGGTGGTTGGTCCTGTATCCTCCATGCCCATTGGCTGGTCCAGGGTGAGAAGGGCGGTCCCAGTTTTACCATTGAGAATGAGCCCAAGACACTGTGTGGAGATGGACCTTCCCACACTTCAGTCAGAAGGGAACATCCAACTGAAAAAGCCACAAGCATTGTCTTTCTTCTTGCTCCATCTATGCAGGTCTAAATGTGGAAGACAAGTTAAAACCCTTCAGAAGAAAGCATAGAATGAAGTGTTCATGACCTTGGTAATAATTCTTAATCAGGTTATAAGATGTACTAGTCATTAATAAAAATTCACCAGGAATAAGTCCAGGGACTGCTCCTGGGAAATACCATTATTGACATAATCATGGGTTACACTTTAATGAGACTGATGATTATTAGTCTTCTTGTCCTGTTGTAAGAGAGTGCCATATGTTGAGAGGCTTAAACGGTAGTGGTGTATTCGGGGCAGCTTTGTTGGGTTCTGGGGCCAACTGTGTTTTGCTGGTGGTCACATTCCCACTGTGTTCTAACAAGCAACGACTGAAGGGGAGCAGAGAAGGGGAGGGAAGAGAAAGGAGGGGCACTTCTTTGTATCGTGTAGTTATAGCTGACCTAAAACTTGCTGTGTAGACTTGGCTCCCTCAAACATGCCTCCTGAGTACTGAGATCACAGTCACAGTATTATTGGATTTAGGTGCCTAGTCCTGTGACCTCCTTAACCTTAACTGTCTTATAAAACCCTCTTCTCCATGAATGGTCACATGGGAATTTGGTACACTGATATATTAAATTCAGAGGGACATAGTTCTGTCCATAAATATGACTGTGCATTTTGCAGTAGTATGTGTCATCCCATAGCATGGTGCTTGTACTGTTATGCCTCCAGTACTCAGTTTTAAGGAACAATTGGCTGTACAACTGTTTCCTTCTCCCAGTAAAAATGAGTTCTCCTGAGTCCATTTGTATTGCACCTTTGCTCTATTTTGTTTGTGTTTTCTGTGCTATGTTGTTTACACTCTTATCACAGAGGCTGCCACATAATGTGACCCATTCTCAATGGATGTTAGAGATGGTGGAAGCAATTCTGTTGTTTGATGATGTAGTTTTATCTGTGAATGGGATGTCTGAGTTCCACCTCGGGAATGTAGACTAAACAAGTGTGATCAGGAAGGATCTACTTTTTGATCTGGGTGGTGTTACAATGTGCATGTCTTCCTATATAAAATTCTTCAGGCTGAATACTTGTCTTTTGCATACTTACATTGTGTGTTAATAAAATATGTGCCACATGTTTTCCACACATATAAGTTTAGTAAGACATTAATTAGGTTGGCATGAGTTTGTAAAAAGTCATGCTCATGTATTATTTACAGTTATGTACAATTTTTGTTGGCCAAATTATCAAAATTGAAAGCATTTACCTTTGACTGAGCAAGGGCTCATCTAGAAATGAACTCTACAGTCTATAATAGCATGAGCAAATGGTACCACATTCAAGGTCATTCACTGCAATGCTGTTTATCGTGATACAATGGAAAAACAATAGAAAAAGGAGCAAACAAATCAGACATCACACGATAGAATACTTTTCAGATGTTAGTGAGGAGGCAGCAGGTCTGCTGACTTGGAAGGGTCTGTGGATTAATAAAGATGCAGAAAGTGCTCTTGTTAGAGATGAACACAAATATATGTGATTTTCTTGGCGTTTTTAGATATCTGTAGACACCTTGTGGCTTTCCAGGGAGGAAATGTAAAAATGACACTTTGTTACTATCCAACCTACTTAATAAACATTTCAGATTTCATTTCATTTAAGTTAATGGAGCCAAAACATGATTTTTCCCCTCTGTGCTTCTCTCACCTTCATTTAAGGAATTATCAAACATTTCACAATTGATAAGTTTTTCTTTGTTTTCTTCGCGTCTATTCATGGGGAAGAAGCCATACTCTTCTTCTAACGATATTGCACTAAGCAGGGAAGGCCATTTGCGACTGGTTACATCATTGAGTTTAAATCACCAGAGAATTTGTACACATGTTTTAGCAACAAAATATTCAAAGTAATTTTTGCCATTGTTAATTTCATCCCCATCGCTGAAGGCAGGAGGAGGATGAATGCCAAGTGTCTCATTTGTCTTTAGCTAGATTTACATGATCCATCTGGAAGGGAAGTGAACCTTGAGGGAACGTGATTTTAACTGCAAAGGAAAGGAAAGGGTTCTTTCTGAAGCTGACCTTACATATGTCACAGTCCCCGTGAAGAAAGTTTTGTCTGTGGCCCCAGGACCCAGGGTATGTAGAGACCCTCAGAAATAAGACATGACTCAAAGGTGAGGCCTGCAAGAAAGTAACAAGGGGCACTTTGAAGAAAGAAACCTAGTTCCTCAATCGGCTATGATCATCTAGAACAGTTGGAGACTACATGGTTAAGAAGACACATCAGCTCCTATGTAGCAGAGCAGTCAGTACATTAAAAACCTGTGTTTGCGAAATTAACAATAGACAAGTTATATAATGGGGTGTGCAGGGATGGGGAAATGGGGGCTGGGATTCCATGGTGCTGTTTCACCAGCTAATACAAAATTGAAAGTAGAACTTGGCCTGGTGGCACAAACTGTCCTTATTCTAGTACTCAGGAAGGCTAAAGAAGGAAGATTTTCATTTCAAGACTATTGTGGTCTGTGCAGTGTGTTCCAGGTGAACCAGGGCTACATGGTGAAGCTGTCTGGAAAGGAAAAACAAAACAAATTGCAAACAGCAACAACCCCTCTGAAAATTATGGCCACCATCCATTCATTTGGGAAACACACACTCCACACAGAGCCTGGGAAGAAACTCCCAAGTCCCCTGTTGGATCTGTCCTCCACCTGATTCCCTTGAGAGTCTGCCTGCTGTGGAGGCAGAGGGTTTAGATTTAGTCTCAGTTCTGCACTTTTGAGGAGAGAAGATACGTGGATTTGGGTGGTTACGAAGTCTTTCCCTGCTTACATAGCCTTGGCTGTAAGATGGGGATAGGACTAATAGCCACACCTTCTTGGTATGGTTGCTATGGGGATTAAAAAACACTTCAAAGAGGGCCCTGTACCCAGAAGATTACATACAGATAATAAATACAGATCATGCACACTGACATATTAAGTTGTTATTCTTATGCTCATGGTTATCATTTATTCAATTTTATGCACCAGGGAGTCATTTTAAGTAAGAAAGAGCAGAAAGGGAGGTGTCTACAATAGGGCACTGGCTTGGTCTGGGATACCCCTAGAACTCGGATGTCCAAAGTCCTTACTGATGGGAGCTGATGCAGAAAGATTCAAATGGGGGTGGCATGCCATGCCGAGAAAGCTGAAAGCAGATTCCAGTGTGGCATGGAGGCAGGGGATATGACCTCTAGTGGCCTCAATGATCCTAAGGGTCTACTGTAGTGACAGAAAGTATCTCTGCAGAGTCACCTTGCTTGGTTTCCCTGCCAGACTTCTCAGAAGTGTAGTTCAGTCTGGATGTTCCAGCACTAGTTCAGTGTAAAAGGAGAAACTCCTGTGTCCTGACTTAGACGGTCGGATGCTCAAATTGAGGCGGACTTTGAATTTATGGGACATTTACACACTTGAAAATGCCAAAGGGTAAGGAAATATATTCTCACCTTGATAAAAGGATTAGGTTCAGTTGGGATCAAGAATAGAAATCAGGGAGTAGGGACCTCAGTCAACACTGACTCTTCTAAGGAAAGGTTAACAAGGGGCAGGATGGTGCTCTGCCAGGTGGGGCGTGGCGATCACCCGCAGACCACAGTCAGCGACTGCAGTTTTCATCTGTGGGGCGCTTCCCAGGGCCTTTGATCTTTCCCCGGGAACTGGCGAGGGCCGTTTTCCTTTTTAGTGCATTCCTCTTAGTTTATTTATTGTATCTGCTTCCAGGAGGGCCTGGAAGTCAGAATGTTAGTTTGCACTTGAGCTAGCACCTTTGGGAACTTAAGTTAGCTGCGCTCTTCTGGAGGGGAGGGGAGGAGAGGGGAGGGGAGGAGGTCTGTCCTCAGCTGGGGAGCTAGGTGTTAGCTCCTCCTTGCTCCTGTTCCCCAACCCCAGCCCGGTCGGCAAATGCCCCTTTTACAGAGTTGCCAGGATTACCTGGTAGTTTGATCTCTTTTCTGGAGGGTCTAAAGTTGTCATCCGCCACCATGAGGGGACCTGTTCCCCGGTCACCAGTCCCTAATCTCCATTTAGCCTTTGTGTCTGAGTGGCCTAGCCTCAGCTCTCCATCTGTGCGCCTTAAATCCCATTTATCTTCTTAGCACCCCAGACTTGGCCAGCCCTGCCCCCCTTGTTCCCACTTGCAAATTACAGCCCCTCCCTTGCGCTTCCTCTGGAGCGACAAGCAGAGTAGAATAACCTTTGAGGTGTTAGGAAAAGTGACTTAAACTGGGTGCAAGCGACACAGAGGGGCGTGGGGGAAGAAAAGTCCAGCCAGTGGAACCGAGGCACCCTGAGTTCAGGGTCAGGACCCAGCCCAGGACCGTGAGTCCCTAGTCTGAATCAAGGAACTCCTGCGGAATGTCGAAGTCGGTCCCACCCAGGCCCCCAATCTAGGTCACCCGCGGGGAAGGGCCGAGCTGGGGGCTGTCTGCTCCGGAGGTGGGCGAGGAGTGAATTGATTCAGACCCTGCCCCTCGCTCTTCCACTAGATTGTAATTCCATCTCTGGCGGGTCGAGCCGCCCTCCCTCCGGCGGCCAGTGCGTCCCTCCCCTCGGCCGCCAGCGTCCACTCCCCAGCCCCGAAAACCCTGCAGCCGCGAGCCCGCTCTACTCCAGCACGCCAGCCTCCCAGACGCTGCCTTGCCTCATCGGACTACCCAGTGACTCCTGGTTCAGCTCCCCGGGTCCCCCACCTTCTCATTCGCGCGCCACCGGCGTCCCCACGTCCCACAGGAGACGCCCTTTCCCTGTGCGCCCGGGACTTGGTGAAACTTTGGAGACACTGTCGGTGAGATGGATTTAATCCCAACCTTCTTGCTCCGTTTCTTGCTTCTGGCCTGCAGCCTCCCACCCGGCGCCGTGTCACTCCGAACCGCTCTGCGAAAATCAGGTAAAACTCTCAGTGCACCCCGAGCAATGGTGCCCGGAGCACCCCGGTCCCGGTCTTTGGTGGGATCGCAGAGCAGGCAGCTCCACACTGCTCTCTCCGCTGGCCCGCATGGGCTCAGCACGCTTAGGCTGTGCTCAGACCTCAGCTGAAGGGTGAGTCTCGCTCTCCCCAGCTCAGTCGATTCCAGGGAGATTCTTGTTTTTTAAAAAAAATCTTTTTTCCAGAGCCAGAAGAGGTAGTGGGCTCTGTATGGGACCACGGAGTGCTATAAGTTGGGGGCGGCGATCACTCTGTCTTGGTTACTGAAGGCTCAGAGAGAGCGCAGAGGACTTCAACAGCTCCTCCTGTTTCTTTGAACATCTTATTGGATTCATGTTGCCTAGAGCCCAGCCATTTCCTGTTGAGTGTCTGAAGGTTTGCCTGGAGCCCCCCTTCCTGGCTCTGGTCCTGTCCAAGCACTGGGTAGGGACCTGGGCTTTCTCCACTGTTAGGATACTCTTGCACCCTGGGGCCATCTGTACAGACAGGAGCACTCTGTGGGTTAATCTGATCTTGTTTAGAACTCCTGCCTTTGCTAGGCTGTTCAAACAAAGATGTTTGCGCTGTAGGCAGGCAAGTACAAAGGATCCCAGAGAACGTGAAGCCGCAAACACTCACACTTCCTCTAGGTAAAAGTATGTTTTTTTAATCTACATTGATTTTGTTTGTGTTATAAAGAAAAGTAGAACATTCTAAATAATAAAGTTCCAAACATTGGCAAGACCATATTTAGGATTGCGGGGAAAAAATCTGCTTTTTCTTAGCTTACTTTGCAAATGGGGGTTGTCTTATGGGATTAATTATGTCTTCTGAACAATGGCAAAGAATCTAACTATTTGGATTCAGCCTGCAAAACCTTAGAGAAAACAGAGTTCCCCCTCACAATGTTTCTACAAGAAAGAGGCAAACCAGGAAAAATTATCCGAGTGCAAAGAAAATAATCTTAGCAGGTTCCCATTTGGCTGCTTTAATATTTCTTTAGTGCCAGGGATCTGTGGGGAGCGGTAGGACCCTTGCCTTTCATCCTAGAAGCTACCTCAGTTTTCAGGCTGCATCTGTGGCCACTTGTATCCTCCCCTTACCTAATTTGAAATTTAGAAACAGTCTCAGCTTCGCACCACTCAGGTTCAGAACCAACCTGTCGGCACACTGCCCAGTTCATTCGGGAGGCAAGGTAGTTTCCTGCTAAATTGTCTTCTCACATCTTCATACACCTTCCAGCATTTCAATATGAGGCTCCTTTGAACTTTCTTCCTCAAGAAAACTACACTATGATCTTGCATTCTGTAGGTTTCTGCACATGAAACCATCTAGCCACATGTTCCAAGCCCATCCATACATCCTGGCTCATACATACATACATGCATGCATGCATACACACATGCATGCATGCATACATGGCTCTGAGCCTGAGTGACATACAAGTTCTCCAAGGGTAAACATCAAGCCCTTTAAGCATCTTGTAAAATTATTGCACAAAAGCCCACTGTTTAAAATTGCACACATGTTTTGCCCCATTTTCCCCTTTATTTCCTAATTTTTGGTCATTCCTCTCCTAAAAACATTTTCTTCCTGTTTCACTCAGTATCTTGTTAAGATATTCATGTCACCCATGTATCATGTTGGTTTCTTTGGTTTTACTTGAAGTACTGAGGGGAGTGATTTCGAAAAATTTCCTTTTCAATATTCTTGGCCCCACCAAGAGGGAAGGGGCATTTTGACTAACTGCAGTCTAGAAGGAGCTTTTTTTATTTTTTTTAATTCCTTCATAATTTTACCCAGACAATGGCTTTCAGGTTGAAAAGCTGCTTGGGTGGAAATGACAGCTACTTCATAAACTTCAGGGGAAATTTTCCTTGTGGGCTCATTTACATCCCATGGAAAGACTAGTTTTTGATCCGTAAAATTGGTCCAGATTAAAAACTGAATGTGCCCCAGTTGGCTCAGATGTGAACAGCAAGGAGCTCATTTGTAATCTCCCCCAGACACCCGCAAATCCTGCTCCCATCCATATGGGAGTGACTTTGTACCTTGGTCCCCCCCACAGAAATTGGCTGTGTGCAGCACTTTGAAGGTGGTGTGGAGATCATGTGGGCATTCCAAAGCAGTCTGTTTTGTTTATCTACTCCTCTTTATGCTGCTGCTTAATCCACTTTTGATAAGTACAGTTCAGTTGGGAAGTCCTGAGTTCCAATTAACCTGAAGGTTACCTCCCTTCTTTTAGAAAGAGATAGGTAGAAAAGAACACCTTGCCCCCTCACCCCAAGGTGTGGCACCTTCTGGCATCGAACATTAGGAAAGAAAGTGTCACATACGCCAAGGCTCGCAGCAGTTGCCACTGCAGTACATAAAAACCAAGTCAAATTAAATAATAATAACTGACACTAATTAACTGCTTGTTACACTGTTCTGAGAACTGATTTCTTCAATCAAGCCGGCAGCCTTGTTTCTTTGTCTCACTGAGGGGAGAACTGTGGCTTAGAGAGAAGCTCAGTATCTCACCCGAGGCCTCTCAGAGGCTAAGTGGTGGAATGGGAATTTAGGCCCTGCTATTTGCCAGCTCTCAGCTGTCTTGTTTGCAGAACTATGTAGCCTTGGGTGTTTTCAAGGCTGAGTTCTCTGGGGACAGAGTCCTGCAACCTGGGTAGAGGGCCTGGCCTTGCTGTGTGGGAGATCTGTGTCGCCCACGGAACATGACACAGCCTCCAAATAAAATAGTACCTCGACTACTGATGTGGGGTGCAGAATGATACTGCCCCCTGACCTCATACAGAAAGAGTATGCATAACCTTACAGAGTAGTGAGGAACTTCTTGCTGGCTTTTATTAGACGTCTGGGCATTAACGCTTGTGGGGGCCAGAGGGACACTGGAGTCCCTTTGGGGGTAGAACAATGAGAAGGTGGAAGCCCCTATGTCTACACCTTAACACTCCACCCCAGGCCTCCCTGTCGTACAAGCACAATGTGCTGAAAAGGTTTCACTCCTGTTCTGCGACAAATTGGAAGCAAGTGAAAACTCCTCATTCGGCAATGAGACTGAGAGGGACGGAGTGATTTGTCCAACTTCACACCAAAAGCTTAACTGGGGTATTGTGAAGACCCCCAACACCAGAGGCCTGCTGCCTCTTGCTTCTGCCTCTCAGCAGAAATTTCAGGGGAGGGGAGGGAAGAATCCTACAGTCATGGGGACAAGCAGGGTGTGTACCCGTAGTCCACAGGCAGATCTGTAACCCTGCCCTTCACTATGAAGATCTCTAGGCAACTATTGATATAAAGACATTTACAAAAAGCTCTTCATTTTCAGGGATAGTGTGATAAGCTCTAACAAACATATCCAGTAATGAAATCCTTCGCAGTTCAGTCTCAGCCAGTAGTAACTGCCCAAGGGGCCTGTATTCTCTCTCCCGCATTACCAACGAGGCACCTGCATAGCTCCCCCTCTCATGGCCTTTTGTTTTGAGATATGTGGACTATTTTCTTTCCTCAAGAATATAATCTTGTGCTCCTTAGTAGGAAACCTGCCCCTTTACAGTCCCTGACAAATGGTGATCTGATTTCTGTCCCTATAGTTTCAATTCTCCCAGAATGTGTCAGGTTTCATGTCTGCGTTCTCACATCCAGCACAACTTTTAAGATCAATCCATGTGTGGTGGCACCTATCAGTGGCTTGTTCCTTTGTTATTGGTTAGTAGTAGTCCTTTGTATAGATCTTAGCTGATCACACTTTGTTTATCTGTTCACTAGAGAACGGCTTTTTGGGTTCAGCTTCAGGCTGCGGGTGACTGAGGCTGCTACGTGCAGCCATATATGTGTCTCTGGGTGGATATGCTTTTATTTCTCTTGGTAAGGAGTCAAGTGGGATTCCTTCTTCCAGTAGGCTGGTCTTTCTAGGAAAACACTGCATTGCTTTTCAGAGTGAGTTCACTGTTTCATGTTCCTAGGAACAACGAATAGAAGTTCTGCTCATCCTGTATTCCCTACAGCATCTGGTACATGTTCTAGTTCCATTTCTGTAGCTGGGAGAAAAAGACCAACACCAAACCAAAACCTGACAAAAAGAAAATTAGGGGAGGAAAGGTGTAGCTCAAAATTCCAGGTTGCCGTCCATCATTGGAAGTGACAGGAATTTGAAGCAGCCCAGTCAAGAGTGAAGAGAAACAGATACGTGAGTGTTCACTAGCTTGCCAGCTTGCTGTGCGGTAATTTCCCTGCTCTTGTGGTCATGATCCCACTAACTAGAGAATGGCGCTACCCATAGTGTGCTGAACCTTTCCACACCAACCGTATTGATTAAGATAATTCCCACAGGCCAAGTCAGTGCTGACAATGCCTTACTAATACTTTCTTCTCAGGTCAGTCTGGGGTGTGTCAAGTGGAAAATTGAAGCTACCAGTCCGTGCACGGCTGTTTCTTTGTTAATTTCCCTGTTCGTTTTTGTTTTGTTTCAGGTATTCTAGTAGGTGAACAATGATATATTTCATTATGGTTTTAAGCTTTGTTTCCTTCATGGCTAATGATATTGAACTTTTTTTTCATGAGTCATTTGCCTCAAGTTTCTTTGAATCTTTCTGGAAAAAAAATGAGATGTTTGTTTTCTTACTGATTTTTTTTAGTGTTCTTTGTATATGTTGAGTGCAGTCTTTGATATAGTCCAGATATGTTTTAAAATCATGAATGTCCCAGGTGCTATTTGCCTTTTTATGCATATATTTGTGTGGGTGGGTATGTGTGTGTGTGTGCAGGAGTGTGTGGGTGGGTATGTGTGTGTGTCCAGGTATGTGTGGGTAGGTATATGTGTGTGTGTCCAAGAGTGTGTGGGTGGGTATGTGTGTGTGTGTGTCCAGGAGTGTGTGTGTGTGTGTGTGTGTAAAGGAGTATGTGGATGGGTATATGTGTGTGTTCAGGAGTGTGTGAGTGGGTATATGTGTGTGTTCAGGAGTGTGTGGGTGGGTATATGTGTG